TAAGCGTGCATTGATGGAACAATTACCGGAACCCCTCATGCACATGCTCAGCCCCAAGTGGCACGGCTACGGACCCAAGCAGACCACCATCGCCAATGGAAAGCCAGAATGCAATGAAATTAATTTAGCATAGGCGTAAAATAAAGTCGCATGACCTGAATGAGCAGACTTCATATGTGAGGCCTAGGTGGCCCGGGGCAGGATCTCTCCGGAGTGGGTTCAGCGGTGGAGTCTGCGCATTGAAAACATGGCACAGCTAGGTCATATTGTATGTTATAATTACGTTATAGACTATGATCCCTAAACCCTAAACCCTAAACCCTAATGCATTGTCTTTTTATCTTGTACCTAATTATATTATTGTACAAAGTGGTAGCCATGAGCTCTCCGTCCGAAGCTGTCGAGCCTGAACCCAAAGGCCCAGCGTTTTGCATGTCGTGCCTTCCGGCACGGAAGCTTCGAGGGCTTGCTGGAAGACCTGACAGAGTCCCGTGACTCTCCGACCCCTCTAGGGTTTAGGGCCTATAGGGTTTAGGGTTTAGGGGTTTAGGGTTTAGGGCCTAGGCTTTAGGGGTTCCTACTCCGAGGTTGGGATCACTTACATCGAAGTACCAGTGCCTATCTATCTGTCTAACTGGCTGGCTCGCTGGCTGTCTTTGTATCCGTGTACCCATGTAATCACCTAAGCTCTATCTATCTTGTACCATCTCACCGGTCTATCAATCTGTCTTCTGTCAGTCTATCCAGCTATCCATGTGTCTATCTATCCACCTCCCTACCTAGCTCTCTATCTGTCTATGTCTGTCCGTCTAGCTATCTACCTATCTATCTATGTAGCTATCTCCATCTCGCTCTCTCTCTCTCTCTCCGTCCGTCTGCCCGTCCGTCCATACGCCTGATGCTTATACTGATTGGTTCATTAAGTGCTTGTGAATATATGCTTTTGGGGAAGTCACACGTTACAAGGCCTAATTTAGAGAACTACCCATATATCTGGAAACACAACCCCCCAGAACCGGAACCCGTCAGTCCTTCCGCCCAAGTAGTAGAACAACTCTTGGAAGCTGCTGGGGTTGAAAAAACTGCCGAACCTAAAGCCTGGTACCCTAAACCCTACATTAAGAACCCA